GGATCTATAATTTATGGTGATTAAGTGGTTTGTCTTTACATAGACCTGGATTTAAACCATGTTCCCTAGTAGTAGTTGTGTGATCCTGGATACATGATCTCTGAAAATTTATTTTCTCCTTTATATAATGAATATCTCTTAGTTTCTTCTTCATAGGTATGTTGTGAGTTTAAACTACTTGACACATACTATAGTATTTGGCTAGTCCCTGTCTCATAGAAATTAACAAATAAGATATTATCCTCAGCCTCAGTATTATAGATTTGGGTATTCTATACTATTTGTGGGACTGTTAGAAGGTTCTTAGGATTTTGTTATGTTTTTGGTACTCTGCAATTTCTACAAATTCTAAAGAGACAGTTCTCTTCATACATACATAAATTGGGGGGCAGGCAGGGAGATGGCTTAGTAGAATAAGTGCTTCCCTGGCAAATGCAAGGGCCTGAGTTCAATCCCCGGTTCCGCAGAAACAAAACAAACCATACATAGATGATAGAAACATAAGGGAGAGGAGAGATACTAATTTCACAGTATACTTAACATGTAGGTTTCTTTATTCAAAGACTAAAGAGTTGCAGTTGTTTGGATTTTGACAATCACTAAGAAATTACTTAAATTTTTATTTGGAGAATTCTCTTCCTTGTGATTAGAACAATAATGTATTCTTTAAGTGTAATCTAAATTTATGCTGTATACCTTAAAAATATTCCCAAATCTTGTATTGTATGCACAAGGGAATTTTTCTCCAGACTGACAAGTAGACTATGATTTATTACAGGATCTGCTTTTAACATTATTTTGTCTGGAATGAACAGAGTAGTTGGAGAAACTCCATCCATCTTATTGTTTATTTGACACTTATGCCACATTAAACGTACCTCAAAGAAACAATACATGAATAAGAAATTGTGTTTAACAGTGATAATTACTCATCAGTCAGATAAATCTCATGACAATAATACAAAAGGAATCCTGTCAACAATGTCTGTTATAGCATATTTTTTTAACTTGAGCAAGTTTTTCAAGCAAATAGTCTTATTTTCTTTCTAAAAGCTAGTTTTACAGTGTGCTTAAGTTCTTTTTTCAACAAATTAACTGCTTTATCCAGGCCTTACTTTTGCTAGGCTAGACACTGATTTTGATGTGAGTGTTTAGGATAAATAGAATGTGCATGAGTTGTTAATGTCTATTGGAGAAATGACAAATGGGGAAATACATTTTGATGAACTTTCATACTTTTAAAAAGTTTTTTTTTTATTGTTTTTGTTTAAGGAAGAGAGGAGAATAATTGAGGCAGGAACAATACTTGTGCAGCATTGTGGAATTTTCCCTGACAATGTTAGAACTCTGGGACTTAGATCTGGAGATTAGCTCATAAATGAGATGTGATACAATATCAACAAAATGCTTATTTGAACCTTTCATTTTTATTAAGCTTAGTTTCTAATTCATTTTGAAGTTTGAGTGATTTTCATTTGTAATTACATAATTGTGAAATATAGAATTGGGAATTCTGGAATTGTGCTTCTATTTTATATTGCATGAGTATACTTTTCAATGTTAGACTGTCAGCAGTATATGGCTGGCTCCTCAGTTGGTGGCGTCAATTCAACAGTCTATAATAGCACTCTCTCCCTGAATTAGTATAGGTTTTATGTTGTCTTTGAATAACTTAGATCTGTGTTTGCCCGTGCCTAACATTGATTAAACTGGTAGTTGCTGCAGACTATACTGTGTTCCAGAATCCTAATTTTGAATTCTATTGCTCATGGATAAAGATTGAGATTGATCTGATTGACTTTTCTTTTATCATAGGGATGTGTTGATAGTCCCGGTAGTTGCCGTCTATTTACCTGTATTACAGATATTTCTGGACCACATTTTTCCACCTCTACAATTATAGAGGTAGATGTGCTTGTCTTAATAGGGTATGCAAACCTTTCATCCACTTTGTCACGAAAGGAACATCCTAATGAAAGATGTTGGCTGTTTATCCTGGGTTCTACAATTCCTCAGATTGTCACTGATTTAAAGGGAAAAATGAAAGAAAAGAACTCATTTCCTACAGTGCTCTTTAACAAAGCAAAGCTTTTAAGCTGTTATATTTATGAAAGCATTCCAGATGACCTCATAGAAAAATGATAGTATGAGTGAAATCATGAAGTTGTAAGGAAATTTATGAATCAGTTTAACCCTCCAGGTTAACATGTAAACATCAAAACCCATAGGGAAAAATGGAAGTGACCCAAGAACACAAAAAATAACATCTGAAATAAGATTATAACTGTTCCTTCATTTTTATTCTAATTGCTTTTATTAGGTTTTTTCCTATGTTTACATTCACTTAGATCTACTCTAATGGTTACATAATAGTTTTGGATTTGAAAGTGAACTTAGAGTTCCCATCTATATTCAGTTCTCTGACTTGTGTGAAAACTAAGATCCAATAACTTGCTTATGGATATAAGTTTCTTAAGGGCATGTTTAACATTTACTAGGTCTACACATGTTTATGGCAATTTCTCTAGCTATAATGGAGCCATTATTTTTGAAGTACTCTTTTAAAGCATTCAGCTGAATATTGTGAAATCTATGTTCCTTTTAAACAAGGTATCAAGTAGTAGACTAAGTGTTCATAGAAGCATGTTTATAAAATACTAGGAACCATTAGGATTGTGTGCGTGTGCGTGTGTGTGTGTGTGTGTGTGTGTGTGTGTGTGTGGTGCTGGAGATCAAGCCTAGAGCTTCTCACATGTTAAACAAAAACCTCTACCACTGATATATATCCCCAACCCAGAGCTGTTCTTGGATTTACCTGTATAGTAAGCAGTGTTGCTTTGGAATGTATCACGTATGTAATCATCGATAATCAGCATGTGAGATAAACAGCTTGTAGTTTGGAAACTTGTGGTATTTTTCAAATCAGTATGTTAATACTATGTGGTATGACACAGAATCTCATTCTTCCACTGTCTGATTTTAATTATTTTTTAATGTTTTTCTGAGATGTAGCATGTACATTTATATATACCCATTTCAAAACAGAAAATTGTTGGAAAGGAAGCAAGTAAATAGAGTTGAACAGGTTAGCCAAGGCAAAAGCTTCCAGCTTTGAATTCTGTCATGAGAGGAGTGAGTGGCTTGTTTTATCCTTATAAGTGTGTTTGTCCTGAATGATTACTCCGCAGCAAACACTACCAGATCCCCTGTTAGCCCGCTCTTCCTACTATCAGTCACCACACCAAAACCAAGCTAACTTTGGCCTAGTGTTCAGATTTTAGCTTCACCACTTCTCTTTTCTGATTTCATTTCTTGGCCATTTTTAGATTAGGATTCGTCAACTCTGATCTTTGTAAGCTTGTATCCATTTTTAAAAATTCTATGTAACTGTCTAGGCTCCTTGGATCAAATACCTCACTTTTAGCACAGAGACATAACAAAATGATGTTCCCAAATCATTTTATTCCTTTAAGGTTTAACCATGTATCATCAGCAGGACTAACATGCTCAAGGATTAGAAAGTTGGTATTATGGGAGTAAAAAAATTCTTATGCCACTGATATGCACAAAGCTCAGGTTTATATCTAGTACATTAATTTTAAATGCAGTGCCTTTGTGGTGTAACATTTCTTAGGTTTAGACAATTAGGAAACACTGCTAAAATGTGACTCCTTAGGGAGCATGAATGAAGAATTGCTCAGAAACACAGTTCTATAGCTATGTAAATATATGTCCTTTCAAAAGCTTTACACTAATTTTGCAAGCTGAAGCATCTATTTTCTTGCCCATTCCACCAAACTTTATTTCTCATCCTTCCTAATGTTTCAGTCAATGGTGTCACATGGGTTTCGAAGCCCACAGCATTTCCTTCTCTCCACTCTCCAAGTACAAGGTGCAATCTTAGTATAGGCTGCATTATGTCTTTCCCTGAATTACTGCCACAGCTTTGTAAATTACTCTTCATGCTTCTGATATTACCTTTCCTCTAATCTTTTATCCATAGTGTACCAAAGGTAGCTTTTTAAAATGTTTATCTAATCATCTCTCAGCCAGTTTTAAAAAGTTGCAGTGCTTCAGAATCAAAAGCTTATTTGCATTGCATGGCTTCCTTTCTTCCTATTCTGATCTTTTCAGATTTGTATCTTTTCTTTTGTACTACTCCCTCTCCCTCTGCACATACACTTTTATTATGGGATTACTTATCCTGATAAAATATACCATATTCTTCCTCACCTATAGCTGTATTTAAGTCTGCTTTTCATTAACTATAACAAAATGCTAGAGATGACTAACTCATAAAACAGTTTTAGCTCACATTTTGGGAAGTTGAAGGTTGTGATATATTTGGCTAGGGTCCTTTCTAGTGAAAAGTGTCTTGGATGCATTCTGACATGGCGGATGGCAACAGCAGAAATATGTAAGAGAGCTGGCGATTCCACCACCTTGACCAGGAACCAGAGAGATTGGGTGGAGTTAGGCTTTTAGAACAGCATTCTGTGAGAACTTCCAGAGACCAACAGAAGAAATCCTTTCATGCCTAAAAAGTTTTCACTCTGTTCCATCTCTTGAACATTCCACCGCCACCATTGCCACACATAAATCTTTGCAGGACAAATGAAGTCAAAATCACAGTGTGCCTTTTCACATGCCACTCTGCCTGCCTGTGACATTGTACTTTTGCATTTTGTCCCTCCTTTTCCTGATTCCCTACACTTTATTCACAAGTTCATTCTGTTCAGATTATCACTGCTCGGTGGACTGCCAGATACACAGTGTGATTCTTCTAGTAGAATGTCTGTCATACCAGTACAGACATTTTACTTAAAAAAAAGTTGTTGATCTTTTATTAAACAAGTACAAATTAGTTTTCATGTATTTGTTTTGTATAAATGGAACTAATTAATTTTACAATTTGTTTCTTATCTACAAAATACAGTCTTAACATTATGTGACTAGGTAGAATATAAAAGTACTTGTGTTTTTGTCTCTTATTTGTTTAGTTAAAGGACATAAAATCAGCAGACCAGAAAACAACGCTACTTCATTTCCTGGTAGAAATATGTGAAGAAAAGTATCCTGATATCCTGAATTTTGTGGACGATTTGGAACATTTAGACAAAGCTAGTAAAGGTTTGTGGTTTATTTTGATAGAATATTTCATTGCTGTGTTCTAAAAGACAAAACAATGCTTTTTTATATATACTTCCTACTATTTTTAAAATTTTTTGTATTGAGTTATCACATTTTTAAAATATGAAGTTAAAGAATATCAACTTTATTCATTATGTTTAGAACTGAGTTTAATATATTTGGTTAATAAGGCTTTTTATTTATAAACACATTGTTTTGTAGCTTAAATCCGTGGGTGCCTGTGAAGCTTGAGCCTGTGCTGTTAAATGCCTTCTTCAGTGGCAGTGTCAATTCCCTTGATTCTTTTTTTTTTTTTTTCCCCCTGGTATTTTAGGGAAGGATCTACAGGGTGTTCAGGTCTCACTACTAGATCGGACTCTTAGTGATTTTCCTATTCACAGCCTCCCAAGTGCTGGGATTACAGGTGTACGCCGCTACACTTAGTCTCAGTCGCCATCTCAGAGCGCCCTGGGAGAGGGGCCGGCAAGACAGGCCTGGGGATCGAACCCCAGCGTCTGTGTGTGCTTGCAGGTGCTTTAATCCGCTGAGCTATTTGGCCAGCCCTTCCCTTGATTCTTTGCCATCTGCATGCACAGAATAATTGTTTTGTACCTCAGTCCCTAACCAGCAGTCTGTGTCCCTTTTGCCTGAGTTCTAAGTCCATCTAATGGTATTGAACTCTCTGTGTCTAGGTAGACCCCAACTGCCAGACACACAGTTTGCCACCCTTGTTCCCAAGTTTATTCCCAGGTTCTAGCCCTTTCTGTAGGCTTAGACTAGGTTATAAAGATCATAAAGGGAAAGATTTATTATTAACACTTAGCTGTAAGATAGTTTAAATAAAAATCCTTGACCACCTTAAAATCCAATTTTGTTTTATATTTTAATGAAACAGTTTTAATTGGCTCCAAACAACTATTTAATGAATACCATTTGGAAGACAGTGCATTTGAAGTGATGGAATATCTGCATTCTTTTGTGTTGATCACTAGTAATTAGTAATGTTAAATTATGTTTGTAATCTTTGTATTTGTCAATAATAAAACTTGTCAATTTAAAGGACAATTTACTTTTTTCCACCTTAGATTATTTCTTCCTAAAACTTTTATTATTTCCTTCCTGCCTTCTTTAAATTTTCTTTTTATATAAAATGAGAATTGTAGGACTTAATCTGCAAAATGTGATTGGATAAGCTATTGTTTTTTAACTTTGTCCTCAATGCATGTTCTTCTGAAGTATATATTTCACACAGCTTGTTGGAGAAACTTTGAAAATAGCCTGGAATTATAAGAACAATTTTACTTTGACTTTTACACAAAAATCTAATATTCTCACAATATTGAATTAATTTGTCCCTATGCTATCTTAAAATGTTCTTGGGATAAAAAGAAAATGTTTATACACATGCGCATAGCACTTGCATGTACACACATGGAATTTAAGAAATAGAAACATTTAAAATTATCTCTCATTAAACCATGTAAGATAGAACAAAAGAGTATAGAACCAAATGTGGGGAAACATTTACAGTAAACTTGAATGTATTACAAATAACTTTTCACTGAATGGGCAATAAGGCATAAATTGACATTCCTGAAATGAGACTTCTGAAATTGTGGAATATGTGAGCAAACTAGATTTTTAAAAATAGAAAATGGGCATTCTTGATGGACATTAACTTTGTAAGTAACAGGGCTTGTCTAGAAGGGAAGGAGTAGAGTTCCTTGACTGATAGATGGGATCCCCCAGCCCACTGGGGAGACATGTTAGGACCTTAACAGGAATCTTGACAAGTATTATTGGATAATAACTATTTGGATTTCTCACCAATTTATTATTTTCTATTGCTAAAACTAAATAATAAACTGGAACATAGTTTTTCTTTAGATGCCTTTTCAAATTTAAATGTAGATGCCTTTTTAATTTAAAATTCATTTTCTAGCATTTTTGCTGTAAATAAACTTAAAAAAATTTATCTTGACTTATTTTACTTGAAATTCTGTGTAAACATTGTGATATTTCACTTTTAAAAAATATTTACCTTTTGTAAGGTCTTGCAGAGTTGTAGTTTGGGGATTTGTTTCCTGCCTTTTCTTCCTTTCTTGGTGTTTCTCCTGGCCGTGCTGGGGTTGTGGGGCTTAGTTTCCATCTGTTCCAGTGGAGGCATGAGCATGTGTGGGTCAGCAGATCCACTAATGTGTTTCTCTGGGAGCGGCCAGCTTCCTGAAATAGAAGAGCCATTACTGAGATGATGTTTTTCAAGTTTAGGTGATTGTTGAGCGTAGTTTCTTTTTATGATTGCATGACCCAATTGATGAATGAGATTTTAGAGTAGTACATGTAATGTTTTAGATGAAATTAGTATTTGTTCGCTTTTGAGAATTTCCAGTCTGAGAGATCACATTGAAAACTTTACAACTTGCAAATCTCAGCAAGATGCGCCATGAATTAAAAAGTACCTTTGTTTTTGAGAGTTAACAAATCCTAGTCATTAGGTACTCCTGGATCAGCAGGAGGAGCTTTCATTGCAACTAATGAGCTTACCCATGTGACAATTTTCAAAAATCTACTTTATTAGAGCTACTTCTTTTTTAAGAGATAATGGCTTACAGCTTTTCTGTGGTAGTTCAGTGAAAACATTTTGGTTCATTATAGAATTTCTGTATACTGTTGTAATATTTTTCTTTTTTATGGACTTTCAGGAGTTGAATATATTTTTTCCTCATATAAACAGTTATAATTAATTGATCATAAAAGTTTCATTGATTACTTTCAAATAAGCTGCTTCAGTCTTAAGTTTAAATCTGATCTTTATGAATAAGTAGAA